TGAGTCCCTAAAGGGGGGGTGAGCGGTGGCTGTGGGCTGTGTGCGCAGTGCACTCACCTTAGGCGAATCCCACATCGGTTAAGTGCGAGGGGGAAGTGATGTACATAAGTGCGGTGGTCTTAGAACATGGTAGGCGCCTTTTGGGGAGCTGAGGAAGTCAGCACCCAAGGGGACAAAACCGTGAGGGTGACCTCATACGGAAGGGCCCAAAGCGGACAATACTTACCATGGTTATTCAGAGCCGGACCCTCGTTTCCTCTGGCCGGTGGTGGGGCAAACCTTAGCGAGGACGCTGAGTCCCCAAGGGGGGTGTATGTGGGCAAGGCCAGCACACCTTAGGCAAAATCCCACATCAGGTTAAGTACGAGGGTGGTCTATACAATAAGAGGGGTGGTGCCGATGGTTAGGACCGTTTTGGTGGGAAATGGCTGGAGAGTGGATAAGAACTTCCAGGGTTTAAGCGTTGCTCGTTTAACGGGAAATCCTAAGATGGGGTGACCTCCTGGGAAAGTTTCCCATTTTCCCCCAAGAACAAAAAACTGGTGGAGGGTTGACCTCGCACTTAATTCTTATAAATGCTTACTAAGTATACTACAAGGGACTTAATCCTTTTAATTCCTTCATTTTTATATCTTGTAGCAAAATAATTTAGTTAGTAAATATATATAACTTCTTTTGGTAGATATTAATCTCAATATAATTTCTTAAACATATTATAAAAAAAACATAAAATAAAATGGTTCCATAACCTATAAGTCCATGGATGATTTAATTACATATTGGAGTCCTGTTTAAATCTTAGATACATAATAGAATGTAATTGTTCAAATATCATTCGGTCGTATGCTTTCAAAATAATCATTTTCCTCTTTAAAAACTTATGAATATAATTATAATTCATAAAGCAAATCCATTGAAAATATTTTGCAAAATCAATTTCATTTTGTTTAAATAAAAGTAAGCTACATCAGTCAGCACTACTTACCTCTACATCAAATACAAAATGATCCTCTCTTGTTTCTTTTTCCTTTCCTTTACCTGCGATTAGTACAAAAGCAACTAATCGCTAAGCAATTATGCTTAGTGGTGTACTAATTAAAAAATAATAAGGAATGACCCAATTTCAATAAATCCACCATGGAAAGAAATAAGAAACAAAATAAATCAATACCGATTTAAATCATCAATTTTCATAATATCAGTGCTTTTACAGCTTTTATAGAGTCCAATTCTGAGCGGCCATCAGTGTCTAATGTGCACAATCTAGACCTGCTCTACAACCTTCACATCTTGATATGATTTTCAACAGAAGAGGGGCAATCTACAACCTCAACATGGAGGGAGAATTTCATATCAATCATTATATCATCTAGTGATGATATCCATTGTTTCAATCGATCGTTAATATTCAACTTCACAATGATAAATGATATTTCGGGGTAATAACCATATCTATATCAGGCTGTTTTAAGAACTTTTAACCATTCCATTTATGTTACTATATCAAAAATTCACAATGGACAAACATTTCATTTTCACAACCACTGCTAAAACAATTCAATCACGGCCACCCCTCATACTACAGATATCAATTGGCCAACATCCTCCTCTTTCACAGTATAAGAATCATAAAATTCATTTAAAATATCATTCGGTCATATGCTTTCAAAATAATCTTTTTCCTCTTTAAAAATTTATGAAAGCACTAATATATATATTTTTTATATATATAGTTATAATTCATAAAGCACATCCATAGAAAATTTTTTGCAAACTCAATCTCATTTTGTTTAAATAAAAGTAGGAAAGGAATAATAACACTAACCTGAACTAGATGGCTCCCCTAGCCCTTTTCCTCTAGTAATCTTCCTCAACTCCCTTTCTCTCAGCAGCTGTAAGCATGATATTAATACTCCACATTAAGATCATACTACAAATGTACACACATGCACTTCTATAAGAAATGTAAATTAAGCATTAAGAATGTAGTCCTCATTCGCTTTTTCTTCATTTTACTATATTGTCAAGTGTTGTCCAAGTGTTATATGATCTGAGTTTAAGCATGAAACACTTCATATCCAACACTTAACCACATCCTAGACACAAAATACTAACAATGAAAACAATGGAAGTGAATAGCATGCTAAATTCGTTCAAGGTTTATGAAATGCAGAATTTCAGCATTTGAGTAGCTGCCATTGCGTTGACTATATCTTGAATTCCCCATATTCAATTGACCTGAAATTTTGACAGCATGTTCCAAACATCTTAGGGTACTGTTCTGGAAAATTTCATAATTTTTAAAGCTCATTTGCATTTTTAAATGACATAATTATTTTAAATTGAATGACATAATTATAGAATCTGAAGTTCAGTTTTTCTCATGGTGAGCAGCCTGTACTAATTTAATTATAACTCCATTTCCTTTTATCCAATGGCCTTCCCCTTTTACCACGACCTACCCAACATCTCAGCCTATCTCGATGTAACTTTTCATGAATTTTGAAGTTCATTTGTTGAGCCAAATAGGTCAATTACTGAAGCTGAAGTTCAGACAGCCCAACTATAACAGGTCTAACAATGATATATTTGCTCAAGCATTCTCAACTCACTTCCAGCACAAATTCATGCAATTCAACTCTTCTATTACTTACACAACATCATAACTTCTATTACTTACATAACATCATAATATAAGAATATCAGAATCCCTAGTTCATGGCATATCAAGAACAAACTCAAAATCATCCATCTTGGTGACTTAAGCAACTTAGACTTTGAATTCATGCATAACTACTTTCAATCATCTTAAATCACCTTAAAATCACTTCTCATCACTTCACTCATCACTTCATCTTCACCAAATCAGATTACACAAACAAGCACCTCACTTCAAAGTTCATGGAATTCAAAAAGTAATCCATAGAAATGAAGGAGGAATCGAGCATTCAATCTTGTTCCATCTAAAAGCACCAAATCTTCATACCTTTTCTTGACCCATTCTTCCTCGATCAGACCAGCTTCCACAAAAACTCTGAGAGACTTCTTTTCGAGCTCTATCAGTAACACTGCCTCCATTCCATATTCAAGTTCAAAAGGAGAAGCTCCATTCACTGATTTGAAGGTAGTGCGAGGTCCCCAGAGCGTGAAAGGAAGTTTCTCGGCCCAACTTTTGTACCTTTCACACATCTTCGACAGTATTCTTTTAATCTCCTTATTCGCAGCTTCTACTGAACCATTAGCCTGAGGGCGATAAGGAGAAGAGTGGTGATGCTCAACACTTGGTAAAAATCGTACGGAAATTACCGTTTTTCAGGCTTTTCAGGTAAAATCGTGCTTTACCGAGAAGTCATTCATCTTTCAACTCATTTTTGATTTCTTTTAAGCTTTCACATGGATTTGTAAAGATCAATTAATGTTTCATTTCATTAATATTAATATCCTGAATCTATAGTGTTTCTCATTATTTTAAATTTTCTTTTTATTCGGATAACCGAATTCATCGAAAAAGCTAAAATAGAAAGAACTACAAAATTGAGGATATTACAACTATGCTTTGATTTCACGGTAGATATTGTAATGTTGTTTGTTATAATTACTATGATTTAATTTATGGTTATAATACATAGCTTTCGGTTCAAGGTTTTCTCATACTTATAATTTCTTTTTTCCATTAGTTCAGAATTCAAATCAATGTTAATTACTTTTCTTTTCTTTTTTTTTTTGGCAGAAATTTTTTTCTCTTTGCAATCCCAAGTCCATCAAAATAAGTAATTTATTGCATTGCTATTATATTATGATTATAGAGTTTCCTCTTTGGTTTGTTGATGCATTCCTATAATTTTTTTTTTAATTTTATATGATTATTTTAATTTAGTTAAATTAAATTAAATCTTAATTTAAGTTGTATCTTTCTTTTTTCTTTTTCTTTTTCTTTTTTTTATAAATTTTCATACCATAAAATCATTCATATATCCTTTTTATTCATCTATTGTTTAAAAAGTATTGATTAGGACTTTTAAAATATAATCCTATCTATATTTATCTATGAATTAACTTGCAAATCAATTTTTTAACTTTTAAATCATCTCTCTCTCTCTTTTTTATCTATGGATTGGCTTGCAAATCATGTTTTGAAATTCAAGAGCGCCGACAAGCTAAATGCAAAGCAGCCAATTAATTCTTTGGTTGATTGTACTTTTTTTTTTTTTTTTTTTTGATTTACCGTGGTTCACCCCTTTCAACTGTCATGGGCTAGGTCCAACGGGACAAAAACTCCAAATTAATTCTTCCACTTAAAATAGTAGGTATAAAAGAAGATTACAAAAATAGTAACACTCTAAGTGTTTTTCCAAAAAACAACCCCAAAGAATTACAATCAAACTCACTATTTTCTCCCACGGGACAAAAACTCCAAATAATTCTTCCACTAAAAATAGTAGGTATAAAAGAGATTACAAAAATAGTAACACTCTAAGTGTTTTCCAAAAACACCCCAAGAATTACAATCCTCACTATTTTCTCTTTTTCCCAATTTTAGGAACTCTTTCCTAAAATTTTCTACACTTAACAAAGTAGATCTCTTCGATTTATGTTTTTGTTTTTGTACATTGTAAAGTGAAAATGACACGTCATTAACGCGTCCACCGAATAGATGCGTTAAGCAACAATTTCCCTTTTTTTTTCACAACCTCATTTGACCAACAATAAAAATACGTGATTATTGTTTCTTTTTTTTTTCTTTCCTTCAAACTTGTGTGTGTCCACGACACCACATATCTTCTTCTCTTTTTTTATCTTTCAAACTTATGTGGGTCCCACACGTCGAAGGGACCCCACAACAGAATTGGCTGAGTGATTAACAGTAAAAGACAAGTCAGGCCTCCTAGTAGTGAGGGACAATAATCGGCCAATGAGGTGACGATAAGATGAAATATCTGGCAAAGATTCACAAACAACGCTCAATTTAAAATGAGAATCCATGGGTGTGATTGCTAGTTTAAAGGCTAGATAACCAGTATCTGCTAAAATTTTCAAAGCATATTTGCGCTGACAAACTGAAATACCAAACTTAGAACTTGCAATTTCAAGGCCCAAGAAGAACTTTAAGTCACCTAAATCCTTAATCTTGAAAGTGATATCAAGAAAGGATTTGATTCGATTAAGCTTTTGAAGATCATTACCTGCTAAGATTACATCGTCAATATAAACTAGAATAGCTGTAAATGGAGAACCAACTTTATGAGTAAATAAAGAATGATCAGACTGAGATTCAGAGTAGCCACAACCAATAAGAGCTTGAGACAATTTAAAAAACCATTGCCGACTGGCCTGTTTAAGGCCATAGAGAGATTTTTCTAATTTCCAAACCTTAGAAGAATCAGATGAATGTTAACCAAGTGGTAAGTTCATATAAACTTCCTCCTTCAGATCCCTATGTAAAAACGCATTGTTAACATCTAATTGCTTGAGATACCATTGATTGACAGATGCTAAAGCTAATAACAATCTAATAGTTGTCGTTTTTTGCAGCGGGAGAGAAGGTGTCCAAGTAATCAATGCCCTCAATCTGTGTATAGCCTTTGGCTACAAGCGGGGCTTTAAATCTCTCAATGCTTCCATCCGATTTATACTTAATCTGATATACCCATTTACAGCCAATGGGGGTTTCGCCAGGTGGTAAATCAACTAAGGTCCAGGTATTATTTGATTCAAGAGCTGCAATCTCAGCAGCCATAGCATTTCTCCATTGTTCACTTTTGATAGCTTATATGTAAGTTTTTGGTTCAGATATAGATGATATGCTAAGAATGTAATGGAAACAAGAAGGAGATAATTTTTTATAGGAAAGAACAGAAGAAAGGGGGTACCTGACTTTGGAAGATGATGTAGACTCAGTTGAAGCAGAGAAATTGCAGTGATAGTCATCGAGGTAAGCTGGAGTTGATCTTATTCGATTTGAACGTCTAAGGGGTTGTTGGGTTTATGAAGATGGAATAATGGATGGGGGATTTGGCTGAGAAGGGGGTAATGGAGAAGAAGTGAGATTAGGTGAGAGAGAATTATAATCTGGGTAATCAGAATTTGGAAGAGAAGTGTCTACAGGCTGTGAAAAAGAAAAATCAGAAGTAACATGAGAAGAGAATAGGAAAATGTGTTTTGAGAATTGGACATCTCTAGAAAGAAAAATCTCTCTAGTAGCTAGATCCATGAGAATATAAACCTTGACCCAAGATTATAGCCTAAAAAGATGCATTTGTGGGCCCTTAGTGCTAACTTGGTTCTATGAGCTGCTAAAGTTGAGGCAAAACACAGGAAGCCAAAAACTTTGAAGTTAGCATAATTGGGGATAGTGTGATAAAGCATTTCAAATGGAGACTTATCTTGTAAAATGGGTGTAGGGGTTCTATTTAAAAGGAAGATTGCATGATGAAACAGCATAAGACCAAAAAATTTAGGGTAAATGGGATTGAAATATCAAAGCTCGGACTATGTTTAAAATGTGTTGGTGCTTTCGCTCTACAATGGCATTTTGTTAGTGGGGTTTCCACATAAGTGGTTTGATGCAAAATTCCTTTAGAATTATAAAAAGAAGACATGAGGAATTTTGGACCATTATCAGATCGTATGGTTTGAATTTTGGTGTGAAATTTGTTTTCTATGAATGAGATAAAGGATTGTAGATGTTGTCTTGTTTCTGATTTATGTTTCATTAGAAAAATCCATGTGTGCCTAGTGTGATCATCAACAATGGTAAGAAAATATGTGTCCATTAATAGATGTAATGGATAATGGACCCCATATATCAACATGAAGTAATTGAAATGGTTTAGAAGAGACAGATTTGCTAACAGAGAAAGGTAATTTCTTTTGTTTAGCATAATGATAGATGTCAAAGGTAATTTCTTTTGTTTAGCATAATGATAGATGTCACAAGAACTTGAATCTATATTACAAGGAATGGAAGGAAAAATTTTATGTAAAACAGAAAGTCTAAAGCTAGAAACATGGCCAAGTCTGTAATGCAATAACTGTGATTGTTGAATATGTGAAGCAGTAGTATTAAAGGCAAAGGAAGTTGATGTTGGAAGTTGAAGATGGAGTAACACATACAATCTCTCTTGCATCTTAGTTGAACCAATCATCTTCCAAGAATGAGGTGCCTGAATGAAACAAGAGGTATTTTGAAAGTTTAAGCTACAATTCAATGTGGAAATAAGCTTGGTAACAGATATGAGATTAAAAGTGAAATTAGGAATGTAAAGCACATCAACTAAATAGAAATCAGAATTGAAAATGATAGTGCCAGAAAAATGAGAAACAACATGTGCACCACTGGGGAGTTTGACAGTTATAGGTTTGATTCTTTTGTAAATGGTGAAGGCTGACAAGGAAACAGATATGTGATCTGCTGCACCTGTGTCTAAAATCCATGGGTTATTATTGGAGAAAGGCAATGAGTTAAAAGATATACCTGAACCTTGATTGATGATCGAAGAATTATTAGCCATAGCAGATTTTCCAATTGCAGTTGTTGTTTGTTGTTGAACAAATGCAACAGAGACATGATGTATTAACGATTAAGGAGCAGAGGTTTCCTGAATTAAGGACAGTAGCTTGTGATATTGCTCAGGAGTGAAACTCATAGAAGGACTATTTGACTGTCCTTCTGGTGTAGGAAGCAAAGCAGGAGGTGAATAGATGTCTGATACGGGATCCATTGATAAAATAATATAAAAATGGCACCATAACTGAATTTGTTTTAGAATGCAATTTAAATAGGTTGTTGATAAGTTTAATATGTCCATAGTACAAAAAATTGGTTTACTTAAATTATAATAAGTCGATTAGTGTTCTATAGTATCCTATAATAGTATAAACACATCAACATAATTTTATTCCTTTATATTTAAATCATAAATAATATATACTCTCTCAGTTCCCAAAGATAGTCGATGTTTCATTTTTGATTTGTCCCAAAATAATTCATTTCCTTTATTGCATTATAGTTAATTCTTAAATTATCTTATTAAATTTTATCTTATTTTCAATAACCTGGCTAATTCTTACTTATTATTCTAATTTAATAATTGCTCGTGTTATTTAAGATAGGCATAATAGAAAAGTTAGATGAATAAAATTATTTTTTAACTATAATAATTATTAATTTCTTAATCTCTGTGAAAATAAAAGGTGGACCGTGTTATTGGAACACATAGAGTATTATATATGTAATTGTTGATGCGGGCTCATTACCAGGCCCAAGGCCTAATTTTGAAGCCCATGCAAAAGGGCTAGTTAGGCCTAAAAGTCCAACCTTCTCTTCCTCTTTCCAACCCTCTTCATCTTTTTACCTCCTGCCTATCTATTTCTCTCCCTCCTCCTTTGGATTAAAAACTGTCTCCTTAGCTTCTTTATTATTATTATTTTCTTTTTTTGGTAATATTTCTCTTTAGCTTCTTTCTCTGTCGATGTCCTTTTCTGTGCATTTCAATTGATGCATAACTGCACTATTGAACTTTTTTTAAGGTATAATGGGAAATGGATAATGAACTTAATTTCATTGACGAGCTGAATCTTGATTTGATTTTCAGCTTATACATTTTTATGGTTCAATCAAAAGAAAGGACCCTTTATTAACTATTATGCTTTTGATTTTTTCTGATCCTTTTGTTTGGACAAAATCTAATTTGCTTATTCTTCTATTTTAATCTAATTTGCATATCTTCTCTCTGTCCCCTCTTTTCTTTCCAACTTTTTAACCCTAAATTTACTTTGGAGTTATGGCTCTTCATCAACAGTGATTCTAACCTGCTATTCATTTGTTCTGTCCAATTTCTATTGCCTTGAAAATTCATTTGGTCAAATTGAACCGAACCAATTCAGTTCGGTTCAATTAAATGCTGATCTCTATTTAGTAGCCAATGAAAATATTTATACTTTTATTTACATAATGGTTAAGCAAAAAAAAAAAAACAATATCATTTATATTAATTTTATTATTCAGAAGAATTTTGATAATTATTATTTTTTCATTTATTTATGATAGGAAGTTGTATATCGAAATTACAAGAGTGAATATTGTTAGTTATTTGAAATACTTCTGATGGACATCAAGTCCTCATGTTATATTTTAAAAAAATATTTTATGAATAAATGGAAATTTTAATTGTTTGGCGATGATAATAAAATTTAATAAGCAATTATTCTGTAGCTTTCTTTAGGACTAGGAGGTGTAATCCCGTTGGACAGTAAAGCCTAAAGGTTACAATCCCAACCTTTACCGGCTACTTTTTAGCAATTTAATTATATCATAAACTATTTATAATTTAAAAAATACATATATTCATTTTGTTTTCATATTATATTTGCTTTTATCGTAATAACAATGGTTGAATATCTAAATTCACTCGTAAATTTTACAGATGACTTATCATGCATTTAAACTTATAAATTTTAGTAATATTATATACATTTCGACATTAATGTCAATAATTTTTAGAGTTTTGACTGTTATTTATAAAATATCAACTTGATATATAGTTAGCATGACTTTTGAAAGAATAATTTTCATAAATTTTCAACTTTTAAATGAATGTTTAATTGATCTAATTTTACAAGTTAAAGTGTTTAATAAATTCACAGAGAAATAAAATAAACAAAACAATAATGTTTTCGTAAATTGTGATCATGCAATATTTTGATTTTAAACATGATCACAAAACATAAATTTCACATCACACGCCAAAAAAAAAAAAAATATATATATATATTGTTTAAAATTCACAGAGAAGAAATAAAATAAACAAAACAGATTAAATGTTTTCGTAAATTGTGATTCATGCAAGTATTGTTTTACATTGACACAAAACATAAATTTCACATCACCACTGCCAAAAAAAAAAAAAAATATATAGTATATATATATATAAGAATAAATAACCAACTTGGGTCCTTCAAATTTAGTCATAATCAGAAACGTTCATCTTTGCTTGTTTGATAGAATACCAGTGATAGGAAAAAAAAATATATATATATATATATATAAGAATAAATAACAACTTGGTCCTTCAAATTTAGTCATAATCAGAACTTCAGTCTTCTTGTTTGATAAATACAGTGATTAGACCCTGAACTATTTAGTCTTCTAGAAGTGCTATATTGAACGTGAAGGACTAAATAGTCAAATATTACAGAGTATTTAACCTTTAAAATGGTATACAAGAAAGGTACAGAGACGATAAATATGGCATCCTATAAATTATGCATTTATTTCAAATGTATAATGTAGAGAAACAAACATAGAAACTCATAGCTTCGATTTTACTTTTTCGATGAGCTCTCGTCTGAGGATTTTTCCTGCAGCTGATTTTGGGACAGTGTTTATGAAACTCACCCTCTTTAATCTTTTGAAAGGCGCAACCTGCAAAAGAAAACATGAAAATGAATGTGTGTTCAACCTCAGAGAACGGAAAATAAATGACTAACAGCAGCACATGCAAATTGCAGAACTCCTGCAGTTTCTTTAGTCATTTCTCAAGCATGATCTTCTTCCTGCCCCCAGTTAGGGGAATAAGAAAGTCCAATCACACAAAGACATATACGGTGATATATTATTAAGAGTACATAATACAGAAAAAGAAGATGAAAAGAAGAATATGAGGAGAGGGAGGATTCAAGCATAAATGAAACTCAACTAACTCAAAAAAACCCATGATGATTCTCCATGCTATTTACCTGATCAGCAATAAATTTCTGAACATCTTCTTCAGTCAATGAACTATTAGGCGATCGCACAACATATGCAATTGGGACCTCACCAGCTTCGGCATCAGGAAAGCTAAAAGGTGAAAGTGACTCAAATTATCATTGGTGTGCAAATGCAAGGGATTAACAAAAGCATTTCTTATGAGCTAACTTATGCAAGTAGCTCAAATGTGTGTATGTGTTCAACTTACGGGATAACAACAGCATCTAATATTTCAGGATGAGAAACAAGCAGCCCTTCAAGCTCAGCTGGTGCAACCTAATGAGAATAAGCAAATCAAAAAACGATTCAGTAGCAGAGCAGGCATTCGACACAAACTAACAAAGTTCATAAAGGATGTTATGATAGAGTTTACAAGTAGTAAAAGCCTCGGTATTTTATCTATTTCTTTATACGGGAAGTTACCTGGAATCCTTTGTATTTGATGAGCTCTTTAATACGGTCAACAACATATAGTCGCCCATCTTCATCAAAATATCCAAGATCTCCTGTATGTACCCAACCCTTCCTATCTATTGTGTCCTTTGTGGCCTGTGGGTTGTTAAAATAACCTGTCGGAATTTCAAAACATGGTAGGATTAAAGTTGTTAATCCTGATAAATAACTCTATGGAAGAATGGCCAATTTAAACTGAGCAGACTGATCAAATAATAATAATAATAATAGAAAGCAGATATGCAAAATGTATCCAACGTCTAATTGGAATCATGACTGTTACATTGTTTGATTCATCTTGAAAGCAAGCTAAAGAAAAGAAGAGAAGACGATGGACATCCCAAGGAAAGATAAGCCTTCTAAAAAGAACATGATTGTTAAGCAAAAAGCCAATTCAGATTAACATTTGCCTAAAACACCTGACAAGTGCTAATGTGAAGGAGAAGTTGAGAGGGAGGAGTTTGGTCCAGATAAATGGCCCTGTTAACTAGCATGTCAGAGCTAGCAGGCGAAAGTTAGCAGTATGATATCATACAACAACTCTCATGGCAACTGAGCTATTGGATACATGTAAAACTTGGTGTTCCAGTTCCAGATCAAAAATGGTCAAGGCTTATGACATGAACTTCCAGACCATTTTGGACCGCTATGAACTAATTCAGTCAATAGATGCTAGAAAAGAATGCAGGAGGCATTTGATAGTACTTTTGAAAAAGAAATGGGTGTTTGTAGTTGAAAATAAATGCAGATAAACTACGTTGTAAAGACATTTTTTGTGAAGAATGGAACTCAATATAGCAGTAAATTAAGTGTTTTACCTCGCATCATATTGGGTCCCCGAACCCAAATTTCCCCCGTTTGTTTTGGAGGAAGAGGCTTCAGAGTATCTACACTAACTATTTGCGCTTCAACTCCAGGGACAAGTGTTCCAGCTGAACCAGTATGTCGAACACCTATCCTTGGATTCTCCACTGAAATAATACCAGTAGTCTCAGTCATGCCATAGCCCTGAAACCACAGAAAGCATCCTGAATCAAAAAGAAACCTTACTTCTAGCAAATCATCAAATTTCAGGAAATGTACACAGTTGCACTTTTAGAATTCTTTGGTAAAAGCATAAGCATTGATGGATGCCAACTGTATACTTCGTTACACTCCTTGCACATGAATGTTTAATCAGCATTACTGAAGAGAATGATGGGTGATTTAACAATCTTCAGAAAGCATAATTAGATAATTCATAAGTTCGCATAAATTTAAGATTTGGACAACGACTACACTTCATTAATAAAATAAAGGTATGAAGCATCAATCTTTTTCTTCTTAAGTCAAATACAAACCGGTTGAGATATTAATAGACTTAATGGCACTCTATGTATGAATATAATATTTCAAGAAACAAAACTTTCATTCAACTTTTCTTTAATAGCAGCCACAAAGGGATTCGGATATGTGATACTAAATACAATAGTAATAAATTGAGATAGCCCAAAACTTCAGTTAGATGCCAAAACCCACAAAACAAAGCAAAGAAATATCTTAACTCAGTACAAATATTTCATACGCATACATGCAAACCTCTGTTGATATCCTAAGCAAAATTCAATGCAGGTGTGGCATGTTTTATATACCCAAACCAAAATCTTCATCCTCAATATGAGTTTAAATAACTAATTGAAATCATTTGAATATGGATTTTTCACATTTTCATGCTCAGATAATGATTCTCATAAGAAATTAAACATGCTGTTCGGACTACCTGAGCAACTACAGCATTAGGAATGCTCTTAGCACATTCTTCCATCAATTCTTTTCCTAAAGGAGCTGCACCAGAACCCACATGCTGCAATGAGGACAGATCATATTTCTTAACCAAGCTGTGTTTAGCCAAAGCAAGTATGATAGGAGGCACAACCCACATATGCGTCACTCTATACTTCTCCACAGTTTTCAAAAGCATCTCAAAATCAAATTTTCCCATTGAAACTACTGCATTCCCCTTTTGCATCTGTGAATAAGTAATCACAGCCAAGCCAAACACATGAAACATAGGCAAGCAACAAAGAAAAACATGGTGCATTTCACCTGCTATTTCTTGATCAATTGTGACCATTAAAGAAGCTGCAATGAAATTTCCATGAGTCAAAATCACTCCTTTGCTAATCCCAGTAGTGCCTGAAGAATACAATAAAGCAGCTACATCCGTTTGCTTCACATTACTCGCAGGAAATTCAGAGTTCGACCCTCCTAGCTCAACAAGATCGTGGAAACTTTTGATTCTTGAATTGGGATCCATAGTTAAGGACTCTTTAGCTCCTAGAAACACAGTCGGCAAATTGAAATCTTTCACTTTGTTCCATAATTCAGGCACTGTTATAATCAACTTGGGATTAGAATCTTTTATCTGTTTTGAGACTTCTGTGGTAGTGTAAACAGGGTTTGCAGTTGTTGCAATAGCACCAATTGAAGTGATGGCTAAGAAACAAATAGGGTAGTGGTAAGAATTGGGAGCAAAGATTAAAACCACATCATTTTTAGAAATACCCAGACGGAGTAGGCCATGGGAGACCTTTATAACAATGGATTTGAGCTGTGAAAAAGATAAGGTTAGTGATAAATCTGCATCAATAAGAGCTGGTTTATGAGGGTAAGAACTGGAATTTCTAAAAAGAAACGAAACCATTGAAAGATTGGGATCTTTAGGAAAAACAATAGTAGGTCTTAGCGACCTGTATATTCCATCCCTTCCATACCCAGATTTCTCCATTGCAAATTGAAAGAATAAAGTTTGTAGGTTTTGCTGCGTTGCAAGTCTCGGTGGATTTGCAGAAGAAGAAGAAGAAGAAGGAAAAGTATTAATAATATTTAGTTGGTTATAAAGATCAAATGGTGACCTCACAAGAAAAGGATAGAGCTAACCACTTGACATAACATTTTAGGTTCAAAAAAATAAAAAGAAAAAAACAGATATGACCTTTTCAATGCTTTGTTGCTATCTTGCTAAAAACCAAAAAAAATGCCATGTGATTGTAAAATCCAAGTACCCTTGTTGTTGCTGCTCTTAATCTCGAAGATGATAAATAGATAAGACAGCTATTTTTTTGGCGGGTAAAGATGGAAATTTTGTTCATATGGTAATATTTTAATTTTGAAGACACTCATAGATATGAACCCAGAAATTAGCAATCGCAGTTTATTTTCTTTAAATATTTATGATTTATTTTCCAGTTTTTTTCATTTCTTTTCCTAGGAGCAACGGTCTAAAACATTATATTTATTTTTTTAAAAAAAAATTATACACGTATCTTTACATACGCATAAAGATGATATAAATGTAAAATCCATATTTTAGTGACAACTTCATGTCTTTTCAAAAGTTTATGATATATTTTCTTTTGTACATCAAGATTATGATGTGTTTGAACTATTTAAATAATAAAAATTTAAAAATTCATTATATATTTTAATTATATATAAATTTCTCTTTTAGTACGGTGATTATAAATAGTATTTTAATTTATTTGTATTTAGAGATTAAATAAAGGAAAATGAACATAATAATATGCACGTCAAGTGGATTCATTTGAAATATGGCACTAGTCAAAAAAGGAAATTCTTTGTGGACAATAAGGATCTTCTGCTTGGAAATCCAAATAATAGAGTCAAATCTGATGGCACAAGCATTAAGACAAACCCAAGCATAGATACAAATGCTTTTGGCATTTTAAGGGTTGAGTGAGAGTGACGATCTCAGCTTGGAAATTAAATGTTTGATTCCATTATCTCACAAGTTGAAAATACTTGCCATTTTTTATTTATTATAAAATTTAATGGATTGAAAAAATATTATAGAATATACAGCAAGAGATAGTCTTTCAGTTTATTCATCAAGTTGATAAAAATTTTTTATTGTTGAAAAATCTCTAATAACACCTTTCATTCTCAAAATAAATAAGAAGACCATTTAGATCACGTGTAGTTGAATATTCTCAATATTTTGATATTATTGAGGAAGAAAAATAAATACTAAAATAGTAATTTGTTAAGAGTTAGTGTTATTTAGCTCAGGATGAGCTAAGATCATGGTATATGAATTGACTAATTTAACCCTTAAGTGCTTTGGAGGGATAAACAGGTGGAAATGATTAATGAAACCTGCTTTTAGAGGAAAATCTATTCATTAAATGCATATTTTTAGAACCAATGTTCTTCACTCTGTCTCTTAACTAATTATGCATATGTTAGGTATTTCTATTATGTAATCTCTAATTATAGTGTTTGGTGAATGAGAAAGGAAGAGTAATAGATGCCAAAGAATATATAGAGAGAAGAAAGCACTGGAAAATTTTCGGGAAAAAAAAAATTATTGCAGTTCAATAAATGCCAATACACTTTCCAGTTGCCCTATGGACTAATTAATATACAAGTTTTTTCCTAAAAAAAAATTAATATACATGTTTTACACGTCCATGCTGCAATTAATAGAAATAAAATATGATTGAACACTGCTCCCTTCGTACTTTTTATATATGCACACCATATATTTACCAAGATTAAGAAATCAGTTTAACTAATTTTTTCTTATTTTTTCTGATATACCCCTAATTTTACATTAACTTCTCCTCTTACTTTTAATGATGTTTCTTGATTAAATAATGCAATAAATACATTATCTTCATAAAAAAAATAGAATATTAAAAATTTTGATTAGGAATAAAAATTTAAATTTTTGAAACTCAATTCTTGCATCTTTAATTGAAAATTTGGTAAATACGTTGGTTTTCTAAAAAAATTGGACCCAATTTATAAATTGACTGCTCACAAATTTGAACAAATACAACAATATGTCCCATAAAATATGCTCATAAATCATAAATTAGACTAAAAATGAAAATCGGTGCAAAAAAAAAAATAATAATGCTCTAGCCTTTGAGGGAAACTTATTATTGGTCCCTCTTTGTATAAGTTGAGTTAAAAAAAGAATTATTTTGTGCTCAAATAATCTTCCAATAAATTTGAGTAACCGTCAAAAAGTTTAAATATGGAGTAACTTTACAAAAAAGTCCTCAAGTGTAGAATCACAACTCTTAATTGTACTCCTTTTCTAAATTTTATGCAATTTTTAAACTTAAATTTCATCTTAATCGGCGCACAATTTTCTTAATTGAATCATATTTCTTGTTCTAACGTAAATTCAAAGAATAACAATTCTATCACCAAATTTCATTCACATATAATGCTCATTTACACTTTTGTCTGCTATTACCTTGATAATCTCTTATAATAAAATTTTCACAAAGAATTAGACAAGGATAATATGAGGTTTTTATATTGTTTTTTTTTTTTCAATGTAACCAAAAAATGAAAGTTTGCCTATATAAAAAGAAAGGAGAAAGTTTTTTTTTTTTTTATATACTATCTCCATTCCTAATTACTTATCTCATTTGAAATTTTATGTTCTTTAAGGAAACCATTAAATTTGTTTAAGTTATAATAAATTATTGACTATATTAGCTTTAATTTAATATATCTAAATACCAAATTTTTGAGGATTGAAGCAATAATTGTTGGTCATATTACAAAAAGTAAACATAGAAAAATTTTTTATTATTCATTGAAACTAAAAACGTGACAAATATTTTAAAACATAGTACTTTGTCAGATGTAACAAGTATTTAGGAATGCATCTATTAGCTGCAATTCATGATATTTCTCACATATGAAAAAATAATTTGTTCCAAAATACTTGTCACATTTGTGGTTTTAAAGAATAATAAATATTTTTTTCTCTGTTCATCCTTTGCGTATGATAAATAATTATTATGCATCAATTTAATGGTTTTCTTAGAGTAGTATTAAATTAAAGGTAACATAGTTAATTTACTCAATAATTTATTATAATTTAGACAAATTTAATAATTTTCTTGAAGGAAGATGAAATTTCAAACGTGACAAATACCACCGAATAGAGATAGTGTTATGGAACAGAGATAGTAACTCATAGTATGACTTAAATTATTATTGAGTAAATTTATTTAATAATAATTTATGCACTTATAATTTAGTTTTCAATTTATTTTTTTTTCTCTTAAATAGTCCACAAATCATCAAACAGATTCAAAATTAAATCAAACCGCATTATAAATTTTTTGAATAAGGCTCCTAGCTAGAAGAGACAAACCCGTCCCAAATACCCGGTCCATTGCCGTTCCTGGCTCTCCTCACTCCAGCTCTGTATAGCCACGCGCCCACGCAATCAATTTTTAATTTTTTATGAGGTCAGCTACACTTCAATGGCTACTTCATCTTTTGCGACTACCTTATCTCGCTTTGGTCTCTTACGGTTAACCAGAAATAAGCCATCTTTAATCCCATTATTTCTTCACCAATCCAACTCAAAGGTTAAAGAAAGAGCTTTCAATCCGTTTCAATTATCATTTCCATTTTGGAAATTTATCATTTGAAAACTTAATCTGTGTAACGGTGTGTATTTGCAGAATCCTAATAGATTAAGACTGTTTTCAATGGCGTCGGAGCCGAAGGAATCGCCCGCTAACAACCCCGGTCTACACACTACCATCGATGAAGCCACCAAAGGATACATCATGCAACAAACCGTAAGCCCACATGTATTTCAACCTATATATGCAAGTGCGTGAGCTTGGTCTTCATTCGATTGTTTTTTGTGCAGATGTATCGAATTAAGGATCCAAAAATCAGTCTCGATTTCTACTCTCGCGTATTGGGCATGTCGTAAGTTTCTATTTTTCTTTTTCATTTATTTTGAGATTCACTTGATTTTCTTTACTAACAATCAAATGTTAGATGATTGGCTTTCAAATTTTCAATGATGTGAAATGGATTGTTAAGTTCACATGAAAGGTTGGATTATCAATTATTATAGGTTTTTGGGGTTTAAGCCCATGTAAATGTAGCGTTGGACAAAGTGTAATATATGCATGGAGTTTGGTTATTTGTAATTCTAGGCTTTTGTCTTTTAAAATCTTTAGCCAACTTTGTGGTTTAGACGTTCTAGCATCGTTAAAAAAGTTTTCTCCATGGTTTGATTAAGAAACATAAGGTTTTATCCTTAAAGAAAGAAAGAAAGAAAGAAACACGGGCCTTGAGTTGGACATCAAAGTAGACGGCTGCTTTGATTATGTCTGGCAAGTTGCAAGAACATATATGGGAATTCTCACTGGTGTTTTGAAGTTAGGATCCGTTTCTCTACATTACCAGACTTTGGCTGGATTTAGAACCTAATGTTGTGATCACTGTCTTATTTAAATATTATTCTCTTCTGTATTCTCGAAATTTTGCATGCATCCTCAATTGAATTTAATATTTGTCATTCAAACTTCTTCAATTCTCAAGGTTACTCAACTATATGAAACCATTGATTCAGATATCAGAATGTCTTATGTCTGGCATCTGAGACATCCAACTTATGATTTTATCTGGCTTTCTGTGGGAGGGCATTCCTTTAATCTTCTATACACCCCATAAAACAATGTGTGGTCCATCTGAAATACTGATGGTATTTTTATGCTATTACACGAGAATAGGGAGAACCAATTAAAGATCAAGTTCCAGACGAAATATATGGCCCATCTGTATTTGGAGGGATCTATGTGGCTTCATTGAAGTTCTTAAATTGATGGATTCTGATGGGCTTCATCTCCATCCTTTTTATAATTTCACGTCTTGAAGTGTTGAAGTGTTTGATCATTTTTTTTCCCCTTCATTTTTCTGAATGATCCATTTATCAATCAGTTTGGGATTAAGGTACTGTAGTATTGCATGTCTTATTTTAATTTTTATGTTCAAGATGACACCATATATCCCATAGGTTTCTGTACTGTACTATTTCCTATATGTTCTTGCTTGGACCAGGCCCTCTCAATTAATGGGCCTTTCTCTGGGACACTGCAATGATGTCAATTGATGTGGTATATGCAAATGCTGCTAGTCTTCATAAATTTTAATTTATCAGTGCAGTTAACTCTGATGTATAGGTAACCTATATTCAATATGTAAATTGGGATAATACTAATGCTGTTTCAAGTTTAAAACTTGTGCCTTCTCCAGGGCTAATGATTGTTTTTGTTAAAATTTTTTAGGTTGCTTAAGAGGTTGGATTTTCCTGACATGAAGTTCAGCTTGTACTTTTTGGGCTATGAGGTAATTGACATTACATCATATCTGTAAGAGCTTTGCATTATTAGTGTTTTATTGTCAATGAATTTTGATTGCAATCTTCCCCTGCCTTTCCTCTCTCTCTCTCTCTCTATCTCGCTTTGATCCTGTGTATGTTGGATATGTTTTTATAATGCTTCACATTTATGATATACATATCTGTTTGGTGCAGGATACAACGTCAGCTCCAAATGACCCAGTTGAAAGAACAGTTTGGACCTTTGGTCGGAAGGCTACAATTGAACTAACTCAGTAAGAAAGATGGATTTGCATGACGTCCTTTTTTCCCTCCATCTTCAAGGTTGTCCTTTGATGGTTCCCTTTGTTATTTATACATCTAACAATCAAATGCTTCTTACAGTAATTGGGGTACTGAAAGTGATCCTGACTTCAAAGGATATCACAATGGAAATTCTGATCCTCGTGGCTTTGGTACGTAAATATTCTGATTAGTTGGAATGTATATTGTTTGAAATATATTAAGGGTGTTAGATAGTTAGAACCTAATGGCTTTGATGTGCTGTTTTGTTGATTTGATACCCACACAAATCTGATCTGGTTGAGAGAACTCCTAAATGCTCTTAATTTGACCACTTTGAGGATGTTGTCTTGAATTTTTAGGAATAATAATTTTTTAATGGAACGGTGGTGAACTTGTGATGGTGAGACCTCTAATGTTATACAGGAGTGAATGTTGGGTCCCGAAGGTCCAACATATTCACAAGATGAATATTGTAGAAATACAGATGTTAAGATGGATGTGTATCTATACAAGATTGAACAGATTAGAACGATGATATCTGAAAAATGGCGCAAATAGCGCAAGTTGGGATAAAATGGGAAGACATCTGAAATGGTTTACTTATGTCCTACTGAACTCCATCTGTCTGGTTCATAATGATACGTTGATGGTGGAGGGTGTAAAAGAGGAAAAGGTAAACCTAGACCCACATGAAGGGAAGTTGTCTCAAAAGGCCTACTACCTGTTGGCATTAGTGCAGACTTAGTTGCAGACGGAGCAAAATGGAAATAAAATATTCATATAATCGACACCAACTAGTTTGGGATTAAGATTTAGTTTTTATTACTCTTCTAATAATTTTTATAATGTGGATTAGATGTTTTGCTTAGTGAGTCTTGTCTCACTGTGACTGTTGATTGATGCTCATGCCATTAAACATATTTACATGATTTTATTTCTAAGTGAAGACGGTATATGGGGCTTTCTAAATAAATTCTTTTCTGTGGCTAGAGATTTAGATGGTATTTAGTAAAACTGAAAAATTAAGTGAGCACAATTTTTAAAACCTTATGTAAGCGCTCACATTGCTAATTGCTCATTGACCTGTTATATTCAGTGTGAAGAGAGAATTTTGACTTGTTTTGTTAAGTGAATTTTGGCTGACTTTTAATTGATATGGATAAAGCATTATAAAACAACCTAACAGTAATGAGCATGGACAAGTTTAGTTTTAAGTGTTGAATTGTTTATCAAACACAGCCTTAGTTTCCTTGCCCCACAAAAAGCAATTTTGTTGAATGCTTGCAAATCCCAAGTTGCCACATCAGTTTTTGATTACTTTGAATAAGTGTGATTGGAATTTCCACCAAGTACACTTTAGAATGAGAGTGTTTCTTTTTTTTTTTAAACCATAATAGCAAGCAAAGCTGCATGCTAATCACTAAAATGTAACCTGTAACTTTTGCTGTGTCTCTTAGAGAGATTCTAGTTGACAATCTTCAAGATAAATGTATTCTCTTTTGGTAGGAAAGATATTTTTTTTCACAAGCATGATTGATTTGAAATTCTCTAACCTTGTTTTGCAGGACATATTGGTATTACTGTGGATGATGTGTACAAAGCATGCGAGAGATTTGAACATCTAGGAGTGGAGTTTGCAAAAAAACCTGATGACGGTAGGCAGTCTCTTTGGCCAATATCATTTAATGAGCATAAACATCATTTTTAAATTTTAGGCAGCAGTTTCTATGGAATGTAGTGTTTGGTTTAAAATAGGCTGTGTTCAGTAAGAAAAGCATGCAGTATGGCAGTCATTTCTAAATGGTGATATTTTGTTGTCCATGAAACCTATAAAGGTTTAAATTTCAAGTTTTTTATCCACTCAAAAATATCTTGACATGACTTTGAAATAAATGGTGAAAAATGTGATCATGCCCTTTTAGGCTTGTGAACATAGAGGGAAAGAGAAGGAAATTCAAAGCTAGAAATAAGAATGCCTGGATGTGGGTTTTTGAAGGTTTAGCACTATGAAATTACCAGAACCAGAGTCAAATTTGTAACTTAGGATTTAAAGGGGGAATGTAATAGGGATTATATTTAGTATTTAGGAATTTACGGACTGTCTGGTTTGATCATTCAATACGACCTTCACTTGAGGCAGTAAATTGTACGTTGCTGCCATATACTTCTCTTTGGAAAAAAAAAGCCCATCCTTCTTCTTTTCTCCAAGCAAGGAAAGGCCAGAAGTTTGTATTATCTGTAATGTAACCAGCATGACTGTAGTGGGCTACCTGAGTAGGAGGGTCGAGTTCTCTTTGGTAGAGTTTTGAGAATATACTTATCATTTAGTCTTGCATCCTTCAAATGCATATGTGTTGTTCAGTTATGTGCCTCACGTCATTGAATTTATATCAAGGAAAAATGAAAGGGATAGCTTTCATCAAGGATCCAGATGGCTATTGGATTGAAATTTTTGATCTCAAGACTATTGGGAAAACAGTTAGCAGTGCAGCCTGAGATAAGGACAAACAAACTTAAGGTAGTTTCTTTTTCATTGTTCTCTTCCTATTTAATTATAATCTTTTTCCTCTTCCTGCTTTTGGTTGATTGTAGATTTCCAACATATTTATAAATGCCACATCATTGTTCCACCGTTAATTATTTCCTTCATAGAAACATATTTTTCTAGCTCTTCCTTGCTCCCTAGATGTCCCGCCAATGTGTTGTCTCTTCATATTGTTCCCTTTACATCAGTCTAGTTTATACATTTTGCTGGAGAGCTTTATACGTCTAATTCTTCCCATTTTAGAAACAAATTTCTCCAGATGTTAATCCCTAAATGTCCCTCAAGCACGGAGTCGCTTTATTTTGTTTCCTTCACATCAGTGTACACATTTTGCTGGAGAGCTACATGTCTAATTAATGGAAATATGTTTCTCCTGCTCTTACTCCCTAAATGTTCCTCTAGCATGGAACTGCTTTATATTGTTTCCTCCCCATCAGTCTAGTTTGTACAGTTTGCTGTGGGCTATGTATGTCTAGTTTCTTATGTAAAAGCATCAATGAGGGATGCCTGCTCTTCCTATTGTCATGCAACTAGTTTACCACTCACTTTGGTGGCATACCTTGTTACTGTAAATCTTTAATATTGCCTACTTTTGGGTATAGAAGTGATAAATTTGCCAGATTTCCTAGGAGTTCCTAGTGTGTTTTCTTTCCCAATATGATTTGCCTTTTTGCTAGGCTTTGAACTTCGCGGCCATAGAGATGACTGTACTACCACTGAATCAAAGCTCATTGGTAGCTTTTGATGTGCTTTGACAACTTAAAGGGTCTGCTTTCTCTCTTTCAAAGGTCAAGAAAATAAAGTGGATGAGTGTAGGGAGTACCCGACTTCCTTTTCTCGATCCCCTCCATTGGAATTTTTTCTTTTAATTTTTTTATGTTATCCTATGAGGTTGATGGATAGGTTTGTTTTCAACTGCAATTTGTCTTGTTGCAGGAAAAATTGGAGCATTTCGAGACTCAGAGAGAAGAATTTCCTTGAATTCGCCCATGGAAAACTTGGTTTGGTAACAAAATTTCTGTTGTAGTTTTCCATATGTCGCGTTGGTTTGCTTATGCTTGTCAACATTGGATCATAAAAACAGAAGGATAAAAGTGGAACATGTAGTTGTGGTAGATGACCTATGTTCCTATTTAACAAATGAAAGTCTTGATTAGTTATTTCTGTTGGTAGATGACCTGGCCCCCAACTTGGTTGGAACCTACCATTAGCCAATAACAAATGACTAGTGCTGCTTTATTATAATTTTGTTAAATTTTCTTCTTCGTTCTTGTGACACAATAATGCTTAGCATTAAGGCTTTTTGTACAATAGTGGATTTTACAGCTAGATGGACAGTCAGAATTTTGCTTTCACGACATTTATGCCATGTTCGACATCAATTATATATTCATATTTGACTAATTTTATTATTAATAGTGTTAAGTGGCGTAGCGATTTATGATAGTTTAGAGTTTGGGACCGGATTATAAAATGTTACTTCCTTTAACAACTATTATTAGGATAGTTGAGGCCTCAAAAATGATTACTTGTGTTAGTTTTAACTATAACAAAGTAAATTTATAATCATTAAATTTCTTTGTTTATTTATTCAAATTTGGTGGTGGTTCCATTATAAATTGGCAGCAATAGTTATTTTATTGAAAATAGAAGTCAAATTCTAATTGATTTTACTAATAAATTAAAATATAGTGATGTGCTATCCCTTGTGTGAGATTTTTTTCTCTCTCTTTTAAATTTCAGAGGAAAGTGCTTGAACGGGTAAACCTGTGACTTTCATGAATAGTTAACACAAACAATTAAATGAATATTCAGAGAATAATGGTATTTAGCCTCTCAGTTTGATTATTATTATTATTATAACTTGATTTCTTTTATTTGGTACGTATACTTAATAGTTTTAGCTCTCCAATTAAAAATGTTATTTTTACCGTTAATTGAGAGATTAAATAGCATTAATAGTAAACGTGGAGGACTAAATAGTAAAATTAAATGTGAATAGTCATAATCCCTAAAACTGTACTTTATAAAAAAAATTATAAATAGTTTAATAAGGTTAAATTTTTATTATTAATAATAAATTTTTGAGTACTAATTAGTTATTTACTATTAAATAATGTGGCTCGAAAGCAATAAGCAATACTATTACTTCTTTATTATATGATATGGCTTGAAAACTTAAATCATTTTATACTTGCACATGTATTGACCTGTGAATTTTCTTTTAAGACGAATAGATTATATTTGTATTGACCTGTGAATTTTCTTTTAAGACGAATAGATTATATTTCCTATATGTGTATAAAGAATTATTTTTTTATGTTGACTTTAAAAATCAAAATCCTATAAATAATTTATATGGTCAATTGAGTTAATTTTCAATACTTCTAATTTTATATCAATTATATTAATAATATATTTAAACTCCATTTATTTTGTGAGGTGAATTAGGATCAAGTTCATTTTCGTAATGTGGATGGTATCACATAGCCTCGAGGTCAAACCTGCATTCCATGATGGAAGTTCCTTAGTGGATTGTACCTGAATATATCTATATTGGACCGTCGTATACTTGTCAGGTAGCCCAATTGTCTATCCTTCTTCACTCGCATACGAGGGAGTTTAGTGTGTGTACATATAACACTTAGCAAATCTCCTCTCTAATTAGCCTTTGAGATGAATTAGCCCTAAGTCCTTTTTTTTTATAATATTGAATGAAAAATATAAAATTTACTTTAGAATATAAATTTTATATTTTAAAATTTTATTGTTAAATATGAGAAAAACATATAAAAATGATAAATTGGTGATAAGGATAGCCAATGACTAATGGTAATGATTAATGACTAATGTAGGTTAACAATGATGGAATTAATAATGTATATTTTTGAAGTTCTAATAAATTTATGATGCCTAAAAACATTTACCCTTTTAAAAATAAGTATTTTCCTTCAAAATAATTTAATTTTCTTTTGGACAAAAAAAAATTATCGTACTACTGATTAATTTTTTTTGTACGATAATTTTTTTTGAGTGTTCTAAACATTAAAAATTTCCAAAAAATATGTTGAGGTAAATTTTGTTTTTCAAAAATAAATGGAAACTGAATTGCATGATATTTTTTTTTTTACCCTTTACCAAGATTAAGTTTAAATTCACAACCATCTTTTTTTCCTTCTCAAAAAAGGAAAAAAAAAAAAAAAAAAAAAAATTAAATTCACAACCATCTTTTTTTTTCCTTCTCAAAAAAGGAAAGAAAAAAAAAAAAAAAAAAAAAAAAAGAACAAGGGTAAACAAGGGATAAAGCACAAGGACTAAATTAGAAGTCAAAAAATTGGCTGTTATGTAGACAAAATATGACTTGCTTTAAAAAGTTTCTCTATCAAGATATTGAATAAAAACTGGAAATAGTTCCAAGGAACTTATTCCCAATTGGCTTCTTTGCCTGCCCTAAATGATTACTATGGTGTAACCAGCCTCCTAAAAAAAAAAAAAAAAAAAAAAGAACAAGGGTAAACAAGATAAAGCACAAGACTAAATAGAAGTCAAAAATGCTGTTGTAAGCAAAATATGACTTGTAAAAAGTCTCTATCAAGATATTGAATAAAACTGAAATAGTTTCTCAAGGAACTTATTCCAATTGGCTTCTTTGCCTGCCCTTAAATGATTACTATGGGTGTAACCATCCTCCTAAATGCCAAAGGCTTCAAGGTTTGGTCTAGGTAGAAAAGGAAGTTTATAATATTTTATTATTAGTATCAATGTTGACTCTTTAGAGTATCATGTGGATTTCTTCTTTTAAGAAAAGGCTATGCATCTGCATGTGGATTGTGGGGTTGCCCTACAAATTCAAAGCCATAGTCCTTTTTTTGGAGTTTTGAAATTCTAGAAAACCAATCATACACTAATGATTTTTAAGACTTAATGCTTTCTTGTTCCAAGTATATCTTTCACAGTAAAGCAAGCTATTAGCAAAAAAAAAAAAAAAATCTTTTGTTCCACTTGGATCTAATTAAAAAATATTAGAATACATTAATTTTTTAATAATATATTATAGAATATCTAAATTGTCATTCTTAAAATTAAAAACTCCTCATTTAATTTACTACAAAACACCTAATTAATATAAATAAAATTGAAAAAAATAATTAATATACTTTGTGAATCCTAAACGAGTATTAAAGTGGAACAACGTAAAATCTTCATTTCTTGCTATGAACTTGGAATCGTATCTGAGTCTAAAAAATCTTGCCAACTAAACTTCAAACTCCAATTCTACCCCCCAAAACCTTTCATTTTCATTGCTTCAAATTCTGAGGATTAGTTATAGCAATGTCCTAGATTTTCTTTGAAACATCAAACATGGTTGAGTTGCCATGTGAATACAACTAATCATTGTTAGCAAAAAATTCTTCATTGTTCACACCAAAACTAACTTTTCTTTATGCACTCATCATCAATCATCATCATGATCATCTGATTAATTTATAAGATAAAATATTACATTAAAATTATTTTTTAACAATCAAAAATTAGAAAAAGTTCTTTTAGTGGATTCCAAACTTAAAACCTCAATTAATAAATAAAGGTCGAGTTTAATCTTTTTTTTTTTTAATTCGTAGTTATTTCTCCCCATAAGCGTTTTTTACTTACTCAACACTGATCTTATAAAGATTTGGATAACTTTAATTTATATCCCTATATTCATACTCATATTATAATATTTTTTTTATATATAATCCATTTGTTCTTTAGAAGAGAAATTACCTTTTCTTTTTCTGAACTACCTCAAACATTTTGTATATATTGAAGAAGGTCCCAACTTGGAGAGCTAGAGGGACTATAGGAAGGTCTATATAGAAAAACAAAATGAATGAAAAGGTCTAATTATAATATATGTTTGACATTATTGGCTCCCTAAAGAAGGGCAGATGCTATAATCCCACATTTCTTCATGCAAACTTCCAAAACCCCCATCTGTGTTGACAACAAATCCAATTATATTAATATGAAAAAAATATATTAAATTAATAAAAGTGATTAAATTATGAACTAAAATTAAATATTTGATAATCAGACTTGTCAGTAGGTGCCACACTTTTTGACCTTTACACTTCACTAGAAAAGACATTCCTAGAAAATGCCTTTTTCCCAACTGCTTTGAAGCAATCAAACTTTGAAAACAAAAAAACATAAAAAAATGAAATTAAAAATTGGATTAAATACATTAAATAGCTGGCAATATAATTAATAATTCTTATGAGATGCAGATTGCAAACAGTTCATTTCACTATAAATTTTATTAATATTTAAATTTTTTTATATTTTTGTATTTTTAGCCTGACTATATATGCAACAAGGCTGGAGTCAGATAACAGTGTTGTAGCCTGACACAGATCTTGTGATCATGCTATTTTGGACCTCTTTGGAGTGCTTCCCAATAGGGATTCCCTGTCATTTTTATTTATCATATGATTTTTTTCTCTCTTATTATTATTATTATTATTATTTCTTCTCTTAAAATGTCTCAATCCATTTTTTTACTAATTTGAAAGTTATATAATGAAAACTATCTCTTTGTGAAACTTGTTTTCAATTTTTACTCAATTTTTAAGATTGAAATTTCTGTTTTAATATATCTTATTTAGCTCTAAACCCTGTCATTAATTTATTTAAATGACAAGAGTAATCATTTTTTATTTTTTTGGTTCAAAGAAAAGGAAGACTAGAAAAGAAAGAGTACTAAGGAATATAATTTATTTCGTGGGCTACATACATTGCATTTTTTGATATTCCAACAATTAGTTTCGTATATTTTCAGTCTTTATTGTAATAAATAAAATAATTACAAAATCACATTTTTTTTCTTTATATTTAAAATCCACCATTGATGAATTAATAATATAAAAATAAAAAGAAATAATGGAGATAACACAATATCTTACATGATTGCAATATTTTTTTAATATATAAATTGTTGAACTATCAGTTGTCACCTACCAATAAATCATATGAAAAGATACAGAAACGTCAAGGACCATGCACAGACTAAATATTCAGTTCTTTGCCACGTCTATGTATTTTCTACATATATATATACAATCCCCAATACTTATACCTGCTCTTTTAAATTATAAAACTTGTATTATATTCTCCATTTCATGTTTCCTGAGTTGGAAAGAGTAGCAGCCATAATTAGTATAGTTTCAATTCTCAAATGATACATCAAATCTCTTCCTCTACACTGGATATCATATTTAGTATAAGCTCTCCGTTAATTATGATTAATTAATTATGAAAAATGAAGTCTATACTCGTATTTCTTATCCCATCCTGCATATAGATTAACGAAATTTAGTTAATATAATTAAATTATAAATTTTACTTTTTTTAAATATACCCTTATATTTATATACGTTAAAATGGAGTGATTCATATTAAATTATCTTTGAAATTAATCAAGCTGTAACTAAACATTTGATTAAATACAATTATCTTGGAAGATTAAAGATTGGTATTTTAATTTTATTTATATCAAGATTTAATTAATCATAATATAATAGTTTGACTATTATATTTGGGGATAAAAAACCATATTAAACAAGGGTAAAATAGTAAATTTAAATATTATTCACATCCAAAAAAAGAAAACAATACAATAATTTGAGATGGATCAAAAAGAATAGTAGAACAATAATTATGGAACAGAGAGAATATTAACTAATATAAGAAACTAAAGAGCTTTATTTGTCAAGAGGATTTTACCTGAATAATAATCTCCTCCCAACACGTATAAAAATCCAACAAATAATAATAAATATAAAAAAGGGCTGCAACCAGAAAATAATAAATATATTCCCATTAATTGATTAATTATCTCAAGTTTTTCTTAATCAATAATATAAAAAAAAAATTAGATCTTTGATCAAATCATATATAATTTTTTATTCTGAGTAATAAATCATATACTCATAACTGTATACACATTATTAAATTAACACTCACATCAAAGAGGGCATGACCAAACAAATTGATCTATTTGACATTATAAAATCAATAAAAATAAATAATTGTTTGTTTGAAGTTTGATTAAATTAAAAAAAAAATGTATGAAACTAATTAAGAAATGAATTGGGGAAAATTAAAAAAAGGAAAATATGGAAGAAGAGTGAGATTATGATTAATTATTGAGTCAATATTTAAAAGATATTTGTAATGTAGTCTCACAAAAATCCAAAGTTTATATCATCATCTTCTTTGTTTTTAAATTTGTAGTAGACAAAGTTCCCACCTTTGAGTCAGAACTATTTCATGTAAAAGATTCTAGCCTCTTCAGAAACTTACAATAGGCCAAGCACTATCTACAAATACAATGCACTCTCTCATGACCACAGCTACCCCTCCTCAAATGCCAACAAACATTGAATTTTCAAGGGTACACTGGCCTTTTTCTTGGGTATATGTATAAACCCAAATAAATCAACCCTAGAGTTTGGGGCACCCTAAAATCTTTTAGTCTTGTAATTATTTTAATTTGCTCATGGAGTGTCTGTATATAGCCTTTTTTTTTAAGTTTTGAACTCAAATTCTCTTGCCTTTTTAGAGTATCTATGAATTAATATATATTTTTTAGAATAAAATGATCATATTAAGAAGGAAAATCCAACAATACAAAAGGAAGAATAGAATATCTATGAATTAATATTTGCATTTATCAAACTTGAAGTGTTTTCTATAATCGAATTTAAGAATATATATATTTCTCAGCTCGACATTTTTATTTAAAATTATTTCTTAAATAATAATTTTCAAATTAAATCTAATAAATAAAATCACAACAAATTAACAAACATTCATTAATTGAAATTCAAACTCTTTTGCTACTATTATTGTATGACACTTGAGCACTTGCAATCTTTCATTTGTATTCATATGTATTGGGCTAATATAAATTTCCAACTTTTTCTTATTGTTAATACTTTTGTATACAAAAACATTTAAAAGTATAGTTTTTTTTTTTTTTAAATTTTAATCGTCTATTATCTGACTAATCTGAATTCGTGTCGGACAAAACCACAAAAGGAGGCAAACCACTCCTTCTAGAATCTTTAAAGTGACTCCATATTTAGTGCTAAACTCGAAATCTTTAATTAAAGAAGAAAATATCATGTTTTATTCCATCTTATCTTTCAGGGGTAAAAGTATAATTTTCTTTTTTAATATTAAGAGATGAATACTTAAATTCGCAATGCTTATATTCCAAATAATGAGTGGTACAGGTAGAAGTTACTACTAGTGAGTGAGTGAGAGAGAAGTAAAAGTGGAAGTGAGAGAGAGTACAAAGATGATGTTAAAAATGTATGATGACTTCCCAAAAAGAAATATGCACAAAAATAAAAGGAGCTTTTTACAAACTCATGTACTGTCAAAAGAAGAAATGTTTTTTCATATTTGATCATCAGAAAACAACACAGACTCCCATAAACAACTCCAAACTCTCCCTTATCTGAAATCTCTCCACCTTACCCCATCAAATCTTTCTTGATTTTACTTACAGTCAGAAGAACAAGTCCATATACATAAAAATCATTCACTAATATAATAGTAATATTAAACTTTTCTTTTTCTCACCATTTCAATAGTAGTACATGAACTTCTCTCGTGTCTTGCTTTCATCAATCAACAAGTTGTTATAGTTACTGTTGTTACTACCACTACTGCTACTAATCAGTTGCTTGACATCTTCAAGATCATACTCCAATGGATTAGTAGTAGTAATTTCTCCAAAATACCCACTTGCCTTTTCTGCCCATTGATTCAGATTTTCACTTCCATTGTTATAACTTAACATAAACTTTTGATTTTCTTCATACCCATTTGAGATCAAGCTTTGAAGTCCCATTTCTTCTTGTTTAATGTCTCTTCCACCATAGCTGATCTGACTGCAACTTCCATCAGAATTAGAACTGCAACTTGCTTCACTTCCAAAAACTAATAAATTATTGTTATTGTTGTCTTTTACTGGATGATAATATTGCAAAGGGTGATGATGATTAGTACTCAGTAAGCTTTCCTGGGTTTGGTAATTAAGATTTGGTGGGATTGGTGAAATAGGATCAAAGCTGGCATTAAAAGGTTTATTAATAGAGCAAAAAGGGTAATTAGAAGTAAAGGAAGAGTCTTTATTATTATAAAGAGATAAAAGAGACTGAGATGATGATGATATTAATGGTTGAGATTGAAATGGTAAGGCTTTTTTCTGGTGAGGAGATATGGCCATGAGCTTTTTCTTAAGTTTAGTATTCCAGTAGTTTTTTATGTCATTATCAGTCCTTCCTGGTAACTGAGCAGCTATTATTGACCATCTGCAAAATTTGCATGTTAGAGAAAGAAAATAAGGTTCCATTGACAAGAAAAAAACATAAATGTATTTGAAACTTGTCATGCATGCAGAGATATTATCCAAAAATTGGAGATTCTTCATGTGTTCAAGATTTTCTTTCTTTCTCTTTAAAAAAATTTAAAAACTATAAACTAAAATTATTTATATATCTGTTTCCTTTCATTTTCTTATTTGCCGATTTCAGACATGTCTTCCATTGTTATTTCAAAACCAACAGTTTATAATAATGGAAAAAAATTCAAAAAAAAAAAAAAAAGAAAAGAAAAATCATAGATGTTTATTGGCAAATTATACATAGATCAAAGATAAATTAATTCATTTTTAAGAAAAATTAGTAGTAGAATGTTACTTAGGGAGATAATTGAAAACTATATTCATTTAATGCAGTACCTGCTTCCAATGCTAGCAAATAGAGTGCAGATTATCCTATCTTCCTCATCAGAAAATTCACCATGTTTAATGTTAGGCCTTAGATAGTTTAACCATCTTAATCTGCAACTTTTCCCACATCTCTTCAAACCTAATCATAACAATGATGGTGATCATTATAAAAAAATAACCATATATATAATTCATACAATTAAGAAAAAGCAAGAAACAGAACCCAAGAAATGAAATCTTTTTTAAAAAGGAAAAAGAAATCTTTAATAAAAAAAAAAAAAAAGAAATGCAACCTATAAGAAAAAAAATGAAATCTTTAATTTGATAAATGAGATCTTACCAGCTTTTTGAGGGAGAGCAATCCAATTACCACCAGTTCCATACTTTTCTATGTAATCTTTAAGCTTTGAGTCTTCTTCTGGTGACCAAGGACCCTTCTTCACATTTGCCTTATCACAGCAAGGAGCTCTTCCCATCTCTCTCTTTCTTTCAAGAGATCTCTTTTCTTGAATATATCTTCAAAAAACTTATAGTACAAGAACAAAAAAACCCAGTAGCTCTTTCTCTCTCCTTTTTCTTTCTCTCAGTTTCTATACAAATGGTGGGGGTCTGGTTGCTTTGTTGGTTCCTTTTAATACGAGCATAAGACAGACTTGGGGTTTTCTACAGCAAAGAAAATGTACTTTTTATTTATTATTTATTTATTATTTATTTATATTCAAGATGTACACAAGTCAAAATGATAGACATGTTCAATCAGTTGTAAGTATCCATGACAACGGTTCGGTTTCAATCTGGAACCCAACCGAAATCAGACCTTCAAAATTGGTTTTAAATCATGATCAATGGTTCTTGATTTTAAATCGTAATTGAATCCGTGTACTTACAGTTCGGTTATGGTTTTTCATTTTTTAAATTAAAACCGCTGATTTTAATTTAAAATCGGCCGTTTAGATTTGAAACCGTGAAAAATAGGTTCTTGAAATTAACTTTAAGAATTTTTTTTGTTAAATTGGTTTAGTTTTTTTAATAGTAATATTTATTATTATTTATTACTCTCTCCGTCGCAAAAAGATAGTCCACTTTCTATTTTCACAAAGAAAGTACTGTATTTATTCCATAATACTTGTGAATTTCATGTTTCTTAAAAAAACTATTAAATTTGTTTAAATTACAATAAATTATTGAGTAAATTGACTACAGTACCCTTAATTTAATACTAATTTTCTAAGAAAACCATTAAATAGAAGTAATAATTATTGGTCATATTCAAAGGGTAAAATGAAAAAAAAAATATTTATTACTCCTTAAAACAAAAAATGTGATAAGTATTTTGAACAAACTATTTTCTTAAATGTGACAAGCATTATGGAACGGAGGTAATAGCAATTATTGTGGCTAAAGGACAATTTTATTTGTATAACTTTTTTATTATGTCCAACTTAAATAACAAGCAATTATTATATTGAAATAATAAGTAAGAATTAATGAGATCATTGAAAATAAGATAAAATTTAATAAGGGTAAAATAGATAATTTAAGGATTAACTATAATACAAAAAATGAAAGTGGACTATATTTTGGGACAAACTAAAAAGGAAAGATGGACTATCTTTTTTTTTAGACAGAGGGGGAGCATATAAATTAAAAAAAAAAAATTGTAAAGAATTATCTAATTTTGGTTCAAAATCAGAATAAAACCGAAATCTACGGTTCTATCTTAGAAACAGACTAAAAATAGTTGGATTTCAGTTTTATATTTTTATAACTGGAATCGGCATTTCTGAAACAGTCACCATGGCTACAGAGTTATAATGCTTATTAATAGAACTTTCCACCCTTCAATTTTGGTTCACCCTACATAAAACCTTGCTTAGTCTTTTTCTTTTCTTAAATGGCATCCAAAGTCTATTTAACCTAGAAGAAATTCAACAAGAAATTGAATTGATAGCTACAGCCTTCTAATTGTGACATTTTCCAAACCATAGACTAAGTAATAGATAACTATATAACTAACTGGCTTCAACTTGATAGTTAAATAAATTTCAATCACCATATTATAAAAGTCATACTCTATTTATTATTTATTTTTTATGCCTAGTTTTTCACACATGCACCATTTTCCATGTACATACCGGCACTTTCTTTCTTTTTTTTTTTTAATTGGCACATACCCATTTCTTTGTACTAGATTATTTTATGATTAATTGATCACAATTGACAAATAATAATCCATATTAATGCATTTTTTAAATTATCACATGTACTTGTGAATCCAAATTTGAATATCCAATCTTTTACTTTCTATTATTACTTGTGAATCAGTCATCACTTGAAAGATGGAATTCTTGAATTCTTGATGATTTGTAAAGAGGATAAATTTATAATTATGCAAGGCTATTTTTTAATTTTATGATTATGTATTACTATTAACTTGCACTATAATTTAACCAACGAAATAACTCTTTATTTTCCTCTCATCACCCTAAACAAATTTATCAATTTTCTTTCTTATATAAAAATTCTTAAAATTACCTTTTTTTTTTTTTTTTTTTTTTATGATTAGTATACTATTAACTTGCACTATAATTTAACCCAACGAAATAACTCTTTATTTTCCTTCTTCATCACCCTAAACAAAATTTAATGCAATTTTCTTTCTTATATAAAAAATTCTTAAAATACCCTTTTTTTTTTTTTTTTATTTTTTTTTTTTTTTTTTAGTTTGTGCATATGTGTTTCAGGCTTAAGCTAGGGGTGATATTCTTATAAAGCCCTCTTCATAATAACGATTTCTTAAATATCTAACCTTGTAGGTAAAATTCATCTGAGGATGCGGTCTATTTCCGTTGATTCAACTCCGTATTTGAACTAATAGAAAGAATATATTAACTGTTTTGATAGTTGTTCGTTGTTTTAGTAGCGTTTAATTATTAGTTATTTTAGTAATTTTTCATAGTACATTAAAAACTAAACGTTACATGAGTTAACTTTTTATAAAATATTACCTTAGCCTCTAAAAATTATTCCAAACGCTATGTTATAAACAGTTAAAAATAATTTTTAATTAAAACGTTAAAAGTAACTTAAAAAGCTGTTTTCGATCATAATCTTAATATGTCTCTTAATTATAACCATTATACGTGTTTATAATTCTAGTTCTATAATTTACATATCATTAAAGTTATTACATAATTAATAAGAATCATGAACATGCATATTTGGGTCCATCCTCTCATATTCTTTGCCAAAAATCCATCTCATCAATTACTGCAATATATAAGATATATATATATATATAGATATATATATATATAATATTATTCATATATATAATATTAAAAAAAATGTAAAAATAATATGGATGCAGTGATTGGTGTAGAGTACATTGTAAAAGATTTCCCATCTAGAGCCTATTAAGTTACAAAATAATGAAAGAATAGTGGCCTAAGGACCAATTGGAGGGACCCCAGTAGATTTTGTAGGTCATAAAAAATCAAACCCAATTCAAAGTTTTTACTGCAACTAGATTTACTAAATTTGTTAAATGTATTCCAAAAGGAGAAATGTAAAACATTTATGGTGAATATTCCAAAGGACCTTACTTCTATCTAGCATATATGAACCTAAACGAAACAGAGGGTTTGATTAATTGTTCTTTGTTCACGTGAAGCTATTTGTCCATATACAACTTTCTTATTAGAGGATGAGATCATTAAGATTGTGAAAGGATATCCATCGTCTTTTTAATTAATTGTGCAAATATATATTTTACTTTCTTTCGTTTTAATTGCTCATTTAAAATTTTGAGAGTATATTAATATTTTTTTTTTTTTTTCAATTTTATTTATATTTATTAAGTGTAATTTATTTTTATCTTTTTATCATTACTTTAATTATAGTTAAATTAAAATGTTGACTACACACATAACTAAAAGTTTTTCATCATATCAAGACATGAAAAATGAAATGGAAGTGTAGGCATGGCCGGTTCATTGAGCTACCGGTTCTGGTTCACAGAACCGATAGTTCAAAATTTTTTAAATGTTGAACTTGAATTGGCCCTCGAACCGCCGGTTTCGGTCCGGTTTCAGTTTTGGCCGATTTCGATAAACCGACGGTTACGATCACGATTTTCAGCGATACATTTTTTTAAAAAAAAAAATTCAGTTATAATGTTATATCTTTTTTTCGAAAATATTAATATGAGTTTAAAAAATATTGGTAAATGTTATTTTAAATAAATTTTAGAATGCTCATAATACTCATATAAGAATAATTAATTAATTATTTAAATAATCAAATAAATATCATTTATTATTTGTTAAATGTTATTAATTAAATAAATTATAAGAAAAATTTTGAAAATGCTCAAAAGAATGTGAATTTTAAACTTGTAAACTGTCACGACCCGTTTCCGGGGGCCGGACCGGCACAGAGCCCAGCGTAAGCTTAAGGCTCGCGAGGCCCGTAGTAAGCCTGAATCAACTAAAATTATTATTTCAATATTAAGATTTTCAAACAGTTCAGCCCATTTTATAAAAAAAAAAAACCTCAATCCTTTTTAGTTAAATCTCGGCCCAAATTAGCAGCTACAACATTCCACGGTTCTGGACCCAATTAATAGTACATCACATTTTTAATAGGGCTCAACATAATTATATCGTCTATGTTAATACACGACAATTGTACGCAAATTCATTACAAACTGCGGAGTCACTGAACTAATAGATATACATAGATTTTTATATATCTAGATACATAGGCAAAAATATTCTATTGGCTAGGAAAAAATTTCTTCTAAGCTCTGCGACGAAGGAACATAGCTTAACCGAATTTAAAGAGAAACTTACTTCCTGAAAAATTAAACAAGAATATGTGAGGCTTGTTCTAAGGAAGTAAACTATATTGCACCAACACACCCACATTCACACATATGTGTAAAATATAATTCAATCTAGTCATCCGAACCTAGTATATGCTCACGCAAGCCAGTCACACAATGACATGCCACCAGCACCTCACAATCATTAACATCTTCATATAATTCACATCACGTTGGAAATTTAGTCAGTGGAGTCACCGAACCCCCGATGAGCCGTCCTCCCACATGCTCAATCCTCATCACATGTGCCAACCAGGGAGCCGATCCCCATACCTGGCCGACCGTCTAATCCTCACTTGACCAGCCCTCTCATTGTTTCTATCCTCTCTTTCTTTTTCATACCAAAACAGGAAGGCAACAACCCGGTCGTCTCCATCAAATCTAAGATCATCAGGCGCTTCCCCCGATGAGCCGTCCTCCCACATGGCCCATCCTCTCATAACGTGTACACTAGGGAGCCGATCCCCCATAAATGGCCGACCGGTCTAATCCTCACTTGACCAGCCCTCTCATTGTTTTTCCATTCTCTCTTTTCTTTTCCATACCATCAGGAGGACACCATGTGGTTTTCCATATCATCCATATCATATCATCAGGTGCACACGGGAGCGTTGATCTCCCCATACATGGCCGACGGTATTGTAGACCGTCCTCATAGTCCCATGGTGACCCACTTCATCCCAATTCCACACAAACATGGCAAAACATTGTCACATCACAACTAATCAAGCATTGCAATTAAGTGCAGA